AGGATGACATGAAGGTAAGAATGAGGATGACATGAAGGTAAGAATGATGATGACAGGAGGAATCACCAACTCTGAAGCAGTTTGTGAAAAATGCTGTGAGAGATGCTGTAAAAAAAATAAAACCAAACACGAAGAGAAAAGTTTATTTCTCCGTTTTAATGGAAGTCAGTTTGGGTCATTAGTTCATCCATCATCATGGATGAACTAATAAACTGTGAAGAGGTAACATCGGGTGCATCAGGTGTTTAATGTGACGTTTAAAAGTGTTTATGTGAGAAACTTTGTGACAGGTTGTTGCAAATTCTGACAGGATTTTTTCCAAACTTGCTAAAGTTTGATTGAATTTAACTGGAAATGTTTGTTGTTTTACAGTTTGAGCTGAACTTGAGCGATAAAATAAAAGTTGTTCATCAGTGAAAACAAAGAGTAACATGGAACGACGTGTCACCTGCTCCTGCATCAGATCTTTGAGCTGCGTGATCTTCTCTGCGGCCTCAGGGTGGCTGCTGATGTAATCCTTATCAAAGAACGCCTGACGACAGAGAACACGAGCGCTTTAATTATTCCTACGGCTGAATAAAAAACTTGAACTGTTGGTAATTATACTGTAATTATTCAGTTACAATTGTAGAATGAAGGAATATATTTCTTTGTTTATAGAAAATACAAAATGAGACCCAGTGTTGGACAAACTCCTAGATGGTATTCTGACCTTCTTTTAAATTTAAGTAAAAAAAACAACTTCTATGTGACTTAGTGGATGATTGATAAGAAACTTCAGTGAGCTATAATAGCAAAAATAAAATTAATTAAATAAATATATATAAAAAATGTTAATAAAATGAAAAGTCATAGTAATTTAACAATATAAGTATTTTTTACTTTATTTGTGTACGAATAAAAGCTTTGCAATGACTTGCAATGAATAAATATGATTTTATTCTAGTTTTAATCAACTTCAACGTGACAGAATTTAAGAAGATAAAAGAAAAAAGGCATCGACTGATCGGAGAGGACAGTTCGGGGTAGAGCGCCCTCGTCGTGGCAGAACATCTGGAACAGTTTGTGCGCCGGTGTGCGTGCGACCTCTTGGTATCTGGCGATGCCTCCGTTCACGGCGGCGTCGATGACTCCGTTCAGCGTCATGCTGAGCAGGTTGATGTTTCCGTGCAGCTGCTTGTGCTGGTACTGACTGATGAGAGTCCGCAGCTCCTGGTTCTTGTTCTCCACCACGGAGATGGCGTTTTCTAATGGACTCACCTCCACCTGAGACACAGAGGCAGAGAAACGATGAACAACTGGAGACGTTCGACTCTGACAAGTTAATGTAACAACAAAAGTCTCTGTGAAGCAGATTTCTCTCACCAGTTCCCTCTTGTCCACCTCAAACCAGCGGGAAATTCCCGGCAGAGGGTGGGTGAGGATCAGAGTCGTTCTTTCTATCCAGAGACTCTGAAACAAACAAACAAACAAACAATGATACTGATCTGAATCAATAAAGTGTTAGCTCGTCATCTTTAACTTCTCTGAAACGTCACAAATAAAATAAATGGAATAAAATGTGTACAAGAAGTTATTTTACTTCACAGAATAAACCGTGCTGGGTGTGAATAATTATAATTTTTAATTAAATTTAATTCACTTTGATGAAAAACTAAATATCTGTGTCTCTCACCTTGAACTCGTTGTCTCGGTCTTTGGGTCCTTTGTGAAACGGTCGATCGTAGCGGAAGCGTCGGACGTTGTTCACCCGGTAGAAGCTCTTAATGCGGTCAGGAACGCGGTCCATCTGAAGGACGCCGACGCTCTCTGGAACGGGTGTCACGGCGTAGATCTGCAGGTCTGAGCCGAGCACGTCAAGGATCCGTGCACGTGTCTTCACTCCCGATCAGAACATTTGTTTGTTCATGCTTCTTGTCTGAAGGATACACTGAGCGTCGCACTGCAGGATGGCCTCGTCCGGCTGATTCGGATGCTGCATCGCAATGGCTTGTGGGAATTCTCCCAGCATCCTTTGCTGGAAGGCTTCTAACCGTTCATAATCGTGGCCTCGGCAGACAAACTCTTTGTTCTGATGAAACATAAGAAAAATAAATACAGAAAAGATACGTCTTCCATTTAAAGACATTTGAATTGTCGTTGGGATAAAACAGTTTTCATCTTACTGATGACAAACGGTTAGCTTACATTAAAAATACATAAAATATTTGTGAAACATTTCACTGACTCTGAGGAAGAAAGGGAACTTCCTGCCGTAGAACCCAACTCTGAAGAACTCCGGCTCCAGACGCTGCTGCTCCATGATGTTGTCGTAATACGCCGCCTCCATTTTCTGCACAAACAGGACACAAAGAAAAGATTGTAAGAAGAAATAATTCTGCACCAGTCTCATTAACTTAACGTTTTTATTAGTTCACATCTTAGATCTTATTACTGTTTTTCTTTTACATTTTAATATTTCCGTTGGATGTAACTGGGACCCTGCGTACACAATTTAGTTCCACCACATGTACCACATGTGGTGTGTATGACAAATAAATAACCTTGAATCCTTGAATTAAATATATATTTAAAATAGATATTTAAAAAATATATTTATTGTTATTATTTAATTTTATTTTGAATTTACCCTTTATTTATACAGGTAGTCTCATTGAGTCACAAAGAACTCATTTTCAATAGAGACCTGTTTGGGAGCAGATGGTGGGGGTTGAGGGCCTTGCTCAAGGGCCCAGAGTAGGGCAAATGAGGGTGGAGGCAGGTGTGGGTGTTTCATCCATTTTGATGTTGTTGGTCCAGGGAGTTGAACCTGAGACTTTCTGATCACAGGCCCACCTTATCCAACCTCTGCACCACCCCTCCCCATATATATTATATCTTTTAATCTCTAGACACGTGATTAGATATCCTTGGGAGTGGTGACGCGGAGGTTAGAGAAGATGGGCCTGGGATCGGAAAGTCTCAGGTTCAACTCCCTGGACCAACAACATCAAAATGTGGGTGAGATGGGTGAAACACCCACACCTGCCTCCACCCTCATTTGCCCCACTCTGGGCCCTTATGATACAGGCTGCAGCTCAAGAATATTTCTGGTACTGTATATGAAAATTTGATGATAATACACTGCAATATGGATAAAATGTACAATATTTATTAGTTACATTGACAGAAGAAGAAGAAGATTGACAACAGAAACGAGGGTTTGTGTTGCAGCTCACCCGGATCCAGCTGAGGCTCTGGTAGTCGTACAGAGATTCATACTGAAAGGCCAGGTCTCTGCACAGAGGAATCCCGTACTCCCAGCACTGAAAACCACACCAACCACAGTTCACTGACTGGTCCCAGCATTTACAGTTCATTTGTGCAACACCATCATCATTCTAAGCTTTTAAAGTTGTAAACTGAGACGACTGGTATGACTGATGTCTGCACGGACTCTAATTATCCTGCTGAGTGTGCACGTGAACAAACCTTTCCCTTGTTGAAGTAGTGGATGACTTTGCGGCAGAGGCCCTCCTTTCGGTGCCACTCGGTCTGAGCGGGATAATGCAGGAACTCTTTAACGGGCCGCTCGTCCCAGTGCAGCAGCTCCCAGTACAGCAGCAGGGTGAATGCAGCCTCTGCAGGTAAACAAACGTCACTAACGTGTTTCCGTCTCTGGGTGTTGTTACTCTGACGGCTCGTGCTGCACCTGTGTAGTTCTCAGCCTGCAGGTGCATGTCACACAGCTTGTGGATGTAACGGATGTACATCTCCTCCTTGTTGATCTCGGACTTGTAGAAGTTCTGAGAGGACACGAAACAAAGACAGCCACAATAATCACCGTGCGTGCACAAAAAGTTGTTTTTATTTGTAAAATAAAATGAATTTTCAGAGCGACATGACAGAACTCCTACCAGGAGGTTAACAGTGCAACCGATCTTCTTGTTTTCCGTCTCGTCTCCCTTCATACAGTCTCTGAACAGAAAAAACATGTTTTATAATCGACCCATCTTCACATACAGTCCTGCTCATGTTAATACTTCTGCACTCGCTCTTCTGCAAGGCGGATTCATTTTCTCTCCCTCTCCTGTTCTCCTCCTGCAATTTTTTTGCTCTCTGTCTTGTGTTTCGGAGCTCCTATTACACATCTCCCTAAACTAAAACCAATGTCATGGATTTAGTGAGCTGGACTTTCAACGCAATCGACAAAATCTTTTCAACAAAGCAACAGGGACCTGGAGAGCCCTCATGCCCCGCTGAGACTCACGCGGCAGGATACGTCATGGATTGTGGGGAGTTTGGCAGCTGATGTGTCTTTCCGTTTTGTCTCAGGAGGACGCCTAAGATGTTTATATAATTGGATTCATGACAGCAGGGTTTCTGCTTTTTGGCATAGGTGGATCCCTGTGTTATCGGCTATTAAGGAAGACAACGGCAGTAGTTTCGGCAATAACAAAACTTCAGAGTCTGTATGAAGGTTTGGTTCATACTTCGAGTACTCAAAATCAGCTAATTTATGAGCTAAACCGTAAGATGGAAGCAATTTGTGAGAATCACAGGCCACCTATGGCTTCTAGGACTCTCCAGCATGTTGGAGAAGACTTTGGGGGAGGCTCATAAGCACGGACCAGTGGAACGTCCACAAATCTGGCCATTTTGGGATTGAAAGTACGAGCAGGGCTCGAGGCTGACAATAAAAAAACAGTCTGCCTGAAAAAATCAACAATTGTGGCTTATCTGAATCTGACTCCCCTGGTTGGTCTCGAAAACAGGCCGACTTCTGCGAAGGCTTATCAGAGCTGTGCCTGCTGACCAACATCTTATCAGGACAATGGTCTATCTCGAAGTGCTTCATGGACAAATCTCACCGTCCTGCCGTCAAATGCATATGTAATGTGTTATAAATGTGCTTGCTGGTAGTTTTTTGATCTCGGACAAGATGTGAAGAGATCTTTTTTGTAATGTCACTATCCATTCTCATGGCTTTTCCCCCTTTTCTATCTAAAAAAGTATTTTAAAAAAGGATAAGAGGCCGCGCTCCAGTAGCAGCAGCAACGTGCACTCCACCCATCTTTCGACTGTACGAACATAATTTCATTGTATTTCAATACAATGAAAATTTGTTCTGATTCTGATATAATAAACTCTATATTTATTACTGCCATAAGCACTCATTAGTGAATAAAGAAAGCTTTGTTGGTTAGCTTGTGAACGAGTTACCTGTAGTCCAGCAGACGCTCCATGAGTCGAGTGACGGAGGTAACAAAAGAGACACCCGTCTCCCTCCATGTCTCCTGCTCGATCTTCTCCAGAAGACTTCAGAGATTACAAAAAGAAAACATTAGACACAGTTGAGTTACCTCTTCTGATAAACTCAGATTTTTTTTTAATAATCTGTCAGGACTCTAAATGTATTTGTCCTGATTGTAGCAGTGTTGATGAAATAAAGTACTCATGTTCTTCTGATGTTCTTGACTCAGAGTATCAGTATTTTGAAATATTAGCTCCTTACAGACGGAGGTTAGACCATAAAACTTACCATGCCATTCTCTTTTACATACACTAAGGTTTAGTAGTTTACTTGACTGAGTGAATGTGCAATATTTGTCTCCAACTGCTGACAGTACATTAAATTACAGCCAAGAAAAATAACCAGTTAGTAATAAACAACAGAGGAAACAGGTAATTTGAAATGTTGTGAGGGTTAACCTCACCTCAGAGGGAGTTAATGAAAACCGTGTGCATGTTTTATGAATTAACCTTTTATTACAATCTGCACCGTGACAGTGTTCATAAATAATAACTTTGTAAGTTACTCTTCATTTGGGTGTTTTGTTTTCCATCCAGGCAGGCTAACGACGTCTCACCTGTCAGCTTAGACTTTCATTACCAACATAAATGGTAAATGGACTGTACTTATATAGCACCTTTCTATCTAATCAAGACACTCAAAACTCTTTACAACAATCCGTTTCCTCATTTACCTCCAGCACACACATTCGTACAACACTCTACAAAGATAATCTGAATCTGTAGAGATTAATCAGTCACATTCAAACACCGATGGGACAAACATCGGAGGCAATGAGGGGTTCAGTGTCTTGTCCAGGGACACTTGGACATGTGACTGCTGGAGGAATCGAACCCCCAACTCTCCCGTTGGAGGACGACTGCTTTAACCACTCAGCCACAGCCGCCCCAAACATAAAGTCACATTTCAGATGATTTTAACTTGACTGAAACAATCTGCATTCATGTAAAGGTGATGGAGTTACCTGGGATAAGGCCCAAAGAGTTGGGTTCTAGTCCCGCAGCAAAAAGCAAAGCAGAGAGGAGCGTTAGAGCAGAAGAAGTGAGAGGTTATTTCTGTTATCACAGAGAGGAAAACAGACGTGGGTTTAAAATCAGAGGTGAGTTGAAACACGAAGATTTCTGCGTTCCTTACAGCAAACCGAAGAGCTCCCTGTAGTTCTCATCGCCCTTCCCCTCAGACACCAAACTGTCCAGCTTGTCGATCAGCTCAGCCTCCACCTGAACAATAAAAAAACACTTTCGGTTAAATAACTGGTCAGAACCGTGTTTCAGCTGCTGTTTCCCGTTTGTCACGTGATGCGTCTGTTCACCTGTTTGAAGTTTCCGTTCTTGCGCTGCTCCCAGTCCATCATGTCGTGGAAGATGGGAATCATGATGTTTCTCACCTCCACCTGAGGAACAAGCGTCACTCCCAGGAACGGCCCGATCATCCCGGGGATGAAATGGATTTTATTCTCTCCTACAAACGGGTCAAAACCATCTTTGATCTCTGAACCAGAATATTTGTTCTGCAAAGTAGCTCAAAGTATTTAAATGGCAAATAAACAAAAACAGCTTAAAGGAAATATAAAACTTTTTTTGGACAGTTATACAAAGTAAAACAAAATAAAAAGTAATAAATTAATAAAATAAATAAATACAATGAAACAACGTTACATAAATCTTACCCAGGTTCTGCCACATGTTAAATAGTTCATAAGTCATCATCACTCTCATGTCGCCGTATCTGCAATAAAAAAGTAAAAAATAAAACTCTTATATGATCAAACCATCTTTGTTTTAAAACAGCATTTTACTGTAAAAACATAGAAACTAACTTATTTCAGGTTTGTACGTGTTAATGATTGTAAGTTATAATTCCTTTTAGATAAAATGTCAGCTGTTTATTGATATATTTTTTTTTATATTAACGTGTTTTGTGGTTCACTTCCTGACAAGTGTGGAAAAAGAACAGGTTTGACTTTTTTTAATTAAAGGGAAACATTTAATTCTATTTTCACATTTCGTTACTTGCTGTAATCACAAAAAGAGGAATTGTACAAACAAAAAATGTTTTTCCTAGATTTTAGCATTAATTCCACTTTTTGAAGCTCTTTGCCTTGATTGAATTGAATTTTTAAAGATCATATAAAATAACAGGTAATAAATCATAAAACAAACTTTGTAATGTTGGCACTTAAAAAAAACACTGTAGGTTTAATGTAAAGCAACTAATAAGTCTCCTAAAAATCCCTGTTAACCTCCTTCCTGGATGTTTAAGCAAATATCTACAGAATGAACCAAAACTGTTCAGAGCAGCAGACGGTGCTCATTTTATTAATTACTCGTATATAAACGAGCAGACTGATGTCATAAAGTTATTTTCTGCTGATACTATCCAACCACATGTTTGACCTGAGCTTCTGCTCTGCACGCCTCCATCTCTCCACAGTTCATATTTTTGATTTAAGCTCAACCAGTTAACTTTCTGGTTCTCCAACTGCTGATGAATAAAAAGAGATTTTCTCAGATGTGACTGTTTCAGCAGCAGCAGGCGTGTCGCTCCATCCTGTTTGTGAAACCCAAAGAACGTCTGAGCCTCTGGATGTTCAATGAGTTTTAGTATCATGAGTTCTTCGGGGGTTTATTCAGTAGAACTGCTCTGATGGAGAGAGAAACAAGCCTCACTGGAAGGAAGATGTGTTTATGTCAGATTAATAAGTTTATATAATAATCAGTCAATCAAAAACTTTATTTCAGACACACATGGTCCATACTAGTAAACGTAATAATGAAGCACTGCTGAGTCTCTTAACTTCAGCAGCAAAAAGCAAAACTCTGAATTTACATCAGCAGCACGTATGAGAATTATGAATGAATAAACTGCAGAATGTGCGCCTGAAGTCAAACTAAGAGTCAGATTGTGTGGTTTATTTTGTGTCTGTGTTCGTGAGTTCTTACTTGTCTAAGATCTTCTTCCTCTTGGCAGGACTCAGGTTCTCCAGCTGTAAACTTGGCTGGTTGATGTACAGAACAGCCAGACTGAAGTAGGAGTTCCACACCTGCTCACACAAACAACACGACACACATTAAAGTTTTATCATTTCCTGTTTACTATCACACACTGAGCTCTGTACAACTTTAATACATGTTTAAATGTGTCTAATGTTAAGATCAGCAGAGTTGAACAGATTATTTTCCCACTGGAGAAAAGGTTTTCTCCACATTCACTCCTCAGAACAAAAACAAATGATCCATCCTGCTCTTAATGTTTCTGTGTCCTCAAACTGTTTATATATTTTGACGCTCCATAACTCGAGGCGCTCAGAACCCTTGGATTGTTTTTGTGGACTGACTGAATCAGAGAAACTTGGATCACCTTAAAGTCAAAGTCTGTTTCTGAGAAGTTCTTGTGCAGAGCCGGGCCGAGCTGCTGTGCCGTGGTCAGGATGATGCTGCGGGGAGTGAAACACACCAACAGCTGCTGTTAGGTGAGGCTGCGTTTTGCTCGTGTCTCGTCATTGTGATGCGTGTCGAGGCTGCGTGGGGGGTCGTCCGTGAGTCTTACTTGCTGGTGAGCAGCCTCATGATGTTCCAGTCGCGAGGGAAAATACTGAGCTTCATCAAATTTCTGAACACGCACAGAATCTTCAACAAGAACTCCTAAAGACCAAAGAAAAATGAAGGAAGTTTTAATTTTAGTGATGTTCAAAGTTTAAAAGGTTGCAGTGTTGATTCATGCCTACACATGCTTCATGTTTGTTCAGTTAATCTACATCTTATGTTCCTTTCTGCATCAGACGTGTCTTCAACCAACACGACTAAAACTTTGTCTTCATCCAGTTCGTTACCTTGATCTCATCCTTGCTTTGAAAGTTTTCCATTAAGTGTTGAAAGTGGATGTCCGTCATCTGGCGGAGGAGCGACAGGAGGCATGAGACGTACTCCCCCTGAGAAAAGAGGAAAACGGGGACATGTCTGAGCCCATCACATGGAATCATTGGAAAGAGAACAGAGATGATGACAGCAGGCTTCACTCCACGGTCACCACAAGGTGCCACCCTTTATTCTGTACAATTTATGGCTGTGAAGACAATAACGAACTCTTTAGCAGGTAAAATGAGCAAAATAGACTTCGTTGCTCAGTATGAGCAGAAAACTTTAATAATACTGAGCTCCAAAAATATCTCATAGTACTGTAAATAATTGCTTCCTGCATGTTTCTTAGCAAAAGTCAGCAACAAATTTAATAAACTAAGAACTTTTTTAACCTTTATTCTAACATCTCCAAACTAGAACTGAGTTTTATAATGTACCTGGCTGCACAGGAACTATTAATTTCTCTCTTTTTTTATATATAAATAAAAATGAAGACACAGTAAAAGTTTGGAGCAGAACTGGGCCTGAATCAGGATGACAGAGACGACACAACTGTTGTGTTTAATGCAGAAAATTAAAAATAAACCCATGTAGGAAAAACTTTGCGTGATTCAAAAGATCGATGTTAAACACAAGATTAGATATTTATTATGCCAACATGCTGATAATTATGATAAAAAAAAAAGAAAAAATAGTTAAAGTCATGCAGGTTTTCACAATAAGGATGAAAAGTGAAACCCCAGAACTGACAGGACGATGTGAGAATGATGATGATGTTTTAGGGTCAGGCAGTTTTAATATTTTTAATATTTATGTAAACTCTCAGTGTTACCTTTTGATTAAAACATATACATTAACTATCAAATGATTGTGTCAAAATATAATAAATCAACAAGTCAAACAGTTTTTTAAGATTGCCCGTCCCTAAAACTGAGCGGTGGTTTCAGACAGGACGGATCGGTGGGGCGGGGGGGTGAAGTAGTAGTCGTATTGTTAGTTACTAACAGTGATCTCCGCGGTGCACTGCGGACAGCGTTGACCCCTTACCGCCTCCTGCGATTGGCTCTTGCTCATGATTGACAGCAGGGTCTGCAGGAGGACGTCCAGCAGGGACTCCACCATCATCTCCACCTCCTCCTGCACCGACGTGTCCTGCAGGAGGAGCGCACGGGGGAAACGTGAAGGGGGTGTGACAGAACAGAGAGGAGGAAAGAGGAAGTAGAAAGGAAGTGCGGAGGAACAGAGAAGTTTAACAAACTTTTAACTGACAGATGAACAAAATGAAATACTTCTAAAACTTCTTAGATAATTCAATTCCATATAACTTTATTGTCCATAACATTCCATGAAATGGAGATTTATCTTTGACGTCTGGCTCATAAAAAAATCAACACAAGTTAAAATGTCATAAAACGAATAAAAAGCTTTGTTAACCCGATGGAAACGTTCTAAAATACACGATACATTAAAAACATCTTTGCAGACAACGGTTTGTCATGTGAGGCTGCGTTTGAATAGGACCCTATCAAGAACACTCACATCAGAGGGAACAAATGACTTTTTGTACCCGTTTCTTTACCAGAGGAACCAGCAGTCTTCTGCCAGGTGGTACCAACCTGAATGGGTGAGTTGGGTCATTGTAAACCTGGATCACCTTTTTTTCCAGAACCTGAGTGTACAGGTCTGTAAGTTTCATTTGTTGATGACCGATGACTTTTGTACCTTGTTTGACCACCTGGTACAACGTTCCCATACCATGAGACAATATTAAATTAAACAACACTTTCAACCAGTCACCTGTGCACCAATTGCAAGGTGTGTTTGATAGTATTAAAGCTCCTTAGCTTATATAGAAGGTGTCTGTTTTTTGTAAATACAGTCATTGTTGGGCTGAAAGGTCAATTTGTTATTAATTATTGTTCCGAGGTATTTAAGTTCAATCACTTGCTCTACTTCTGCCCTTTTATAACAGAAGGTCTGAATACAGATCTGGTGCTGGCTGCTCCCCGTCCCAAACAAAGTTCCTTGGTTTTACTGACATTAAGGTTCAGAAAATTCATCAAACCAGTCAGAGAGCTGATCTCTGAGCTGGGAGCAGAAGGGACTATTGGTGTCTTTCAGACCAGCGACTAGGGCCATACCATCAGCATACTTAATTAATGTAAAGTCTTTGCTGTTGTGTCGCAACTCATTTGTGTATATAGAGAATAAAAGTGGCCATAGCACACAACCCTGTGGAACACCAGTGTTCAAAACCCTACAGTCAATAGAGTGTTATCAACACAGACTCGTTGGGGTCTTCCTCTTAAAACCTCTCTAATCCACAACACAAGATGGCTGCTGACATTTAGATCACGTAGGCATTTTAAAAGAATAATTGGCTGAACCGTATTAAAATGATGATGACACATTGGTGACGTTTGCAACAACAAAAAAAATTAACTCTAAAAACTATTTTTGTAAACGAGTCTGACGCCTTCAAGTTTCCTGACCATCACAACTCCAGACGGACATTGTGTGTGTTGGAGTGCTTGATCTGTATAAAACATAAAATGTGTGTGTGTGTGTGTGTGTGTGTGTGTCCTTGTTTATGCTACTTTGTGAGGCCCATTTTTCCAACTTATACTACATTGTGAGGACCAACTGCTCCTTATGGGGCCCAAAGCCCGGGCCCCATAAGAAGAAGTCCCGTTGGTGGGTTACGGGCTAGGTTTAGGACTAAGGTGTGAATTGAGGATGTGTTAGGTTTAGGGTTAGGTATGTACTGGTAATGGTTAGGTTATGGATAAAGGTCATGGTTAGGCTATAGAAATGAATGAAAAATGAATGGAAGTCAATGCAAAGGCCCCACAAAGATAGCAAAACAAACCTGTGTGTGTGTGTGTGTGTGTGTGTGTGTGTGTGTGTGTGTGTGTGTTACCAGTGAGCTGCTCTTGATAATGGAGAAAATGGAGCTGAGTATTCCTGAGCAGATGAGCAGTTCTTTCTGCTGCCTCAGGTGGAGATGAATGTGATGCAGGACCACCGGGAGCAGGATCCTCCGAGACTCTGTGCACACACACACACACACACACACACTGGTTAATTATTCATTTGCATTTTAATGGGTTTAAAACTCTGAATTTAAATGACCAGATTACTGTAATTTGGATCAAATTGATTAAATAAACTTAATACTTAAGTGATTACTAATACAACTATTCAATATGCAGCTTTTGTGCACACATTTTTTCTTGTTTTATTTTGAAAAACAAATTTCTGTCTTCCTATGAAATAAGATAAATCATAATAAGACGTGTTTATGATTAGGATGATGTATAAAGTTAGACTTTTACCAGGAAATGAGAAAAGCCTGCTGTCCACGGTTCGAGCGATGGACTGCAGCTTCACCACGTCCATGGACTGCCCGATGTGGACCGTGGACGGCATGCTGCCCAGCGTGCCGCGCACAAACTCCGCCACCTCCTGGACCGTGAACATCTGCAGGAGCTCGTCGAAGATGGCCGGGAACGAGTTCAACAGGGCGGCCTGAAGACGTGAGACAGGAAAGAGTCAATGTAGAGAGGAGGAGATTCACAGAAAACTGCAGAGGTGCATGCTGGGAAGAAGAAGGTTAATGATTGTTTATGTGATGGTTGTGGAGGAAAAACGGGTCCACGGTTTCTGTAAAACACCAGAGGAGAGCAGAAGTGATCTCAGGGGAAAGATGGTTTCTCAAATGAACTGATTCATCTCACACAGATGTTCCTCAGCAGCAAAACATCTTCTCCATAAACTCTCTGTTAGTTTGAAAACTGGTTTGATCTTTGTCAAAACAAGTTTAAAGTCTAAGCAGATGAAAAAAAATAAATTAAAAATTAAAAATTGAGCTTCTGTATTTTAGAAAAACAGCTGTTCACCTGGTGTGAAAGTTCCACAGCAGGTGGGAAAAAAACTAATTAAACAAGAAATATTAAACAGACAAAAGGAACAAAAAAAGCTGAACAACTTCGACAGAAAAGTTAAACAGTTTAAAGCCATGAAGTCACGACACAAGACACACAAACTAAACCAGCAGACATCAACTGGTTCATGGAAAACAATAAAATAATGATGCAGGTGAGATTTTAGAAACGTTCACGCTGCATTTTCACAGAAAATAACATTTCTCTAGTTACAAAATGTGCTTTGTGGCAATCTGTTTGTTTTTAGTCACTTGAGTTTTAATTTATTATTATTATTATTATTGTTTGCACACACACACACAAAAGAAACACATAAAGGAAAAGATAAAAAATAAAATGTGCAGGAAAGGTCATAAAAACACTAAATGGGCTTACAAGCACCACCTCTAAAAAATAAGGAAAAAAAACATAAACGCTTTGTACATAAGTTACATCTTACTTTAAACACACAAATGCAACAGATAAAAGCTCATAATACATTTTAATTTGTCCAAAAATATTAAAATGTTAATAAAAAACAAAACAATAAATGTGTGTTAAAAAACTATAAACTTTGTTTCAACTTTCTTTTAAATACAGATAATGTTGTGCATGATTCACTTAGTTGCTTTAAACTGTTCCACAGCTCAACATCTTGATGCACAAACTAAAATTGATGCACAAATTAAAATTGATGCACAAATTAAAATTGATG